AACACTATTAACTAAAGTGAGGGGGCTTGTGGAATAGGGTATTTCGTAGAGAAGTTTATTTTGTCACCGCGCTTCCTAGACGCGCATAGCGTTTAGGCGGTCAAAAAAGTAAGTTTTCAGCTTTGAAAGTTAAACATTTGACAGGATTAATTAGATTGTCAGTAGTTTTTTCTATTTCATAGCTCTAAAAGGAGATAACTAAAATCTGTTGATAATCGGAGTAATAAATTATTTTTAACTGAATGTGCCTGTTCTCTTAGCTTGTCAGAAGAGAAGATTATTGTCATTAATGATTATTTCAGATTCCACGATTATTCAGCATTTTTGTTTTGTGGTTGAGATCCAGACAAAACGTTTCCTTTAAAGGTAAGTTTTATCTCGGTAACTATTTTAACATACCTAATAGTAATAGTGAGTGCACATAATAATCACCTGTTCACTCCCAACCAAGTTAGATAAAAAAGATATTGAAGATTGCAGCCTTGAGTTGGAGTATGGCAAAGAGTATGGAGTTAAATAAATTATTATGTTCCTAAACAGTATTTTATTTATATGTTTTAAAGTCTAATAATAAGATTTCGTTGTCAACAAAATAATCTAAAAAAACTACGAAGATTTCTTATTATAAACTTAAAAGATTAAGATTCGGTTCAAATATACAAATTTTAAATTTTTGGCGCCAGTATATACGTATGAATGCAACCTACTATATCGATAATGCGCTCGTAGTTCGCGTTAGACGTCAAAGGCCGTGCCACTACAACAGTCTTCAAAAGTTAACGTTTATCGGTCTCTCTCACTTTAGTTATTAGTGTTCTCTCTGATTATATCTTTCGAAAAAATATTCCTGCAACTGCTTGGCTGTGGAGTTCCATAAAACTTTGATAACACTCTCCTTGTAGTCTTCAGAGTTCTGCTTTTTTCGCATGTTGAACCCATAGTCTTCAAGAATAAGCGCCAGTTCTTCCACAGGTATATCCGCTCTGTCGAAATCATAGGATTTTTCAGCGCAAAAGTTTGTTAACTGCTTCCATACGCTTGACTTCGATTTCCTAGTATTCGCGGGTGTCAACTGCTTAATCTCCTGGCGAACATTTTGTTTGCTTTCTTGACCGAAGCGAAACTTTTTTTTAAGTCATTCCGCTTGACAGCTTCAAATCTGAAATAGTTTTTAGGTTTGGATGTCACTTAGTTACCATAGTAACTAAATAATCAAGTCGACCAAAAATCGAAAAATACATTTTAATTATTTGGTTTTCAAACACAATTTGGTGTGGAATTTTCTTACCAAATACCACACGAGGTCAAATTAAATCTGGAAATTTTTTCTCGCTCATGAATATTTTTAGAAAATTTCTGGTAATAATTTGACCCCTAGTGGTATTTCAAGTGAAAACATTTCCAAGCACCTTTTTACGTAAAATTTATTGGTTTCAGTGTATTTTTGTTTCAAAATTAATAATTTAAAAATCATCAACAGAAAAATTGATTTTTTATAGAGGACACTCTGTATAATTTTAATTAACTGAAATTTTAAAAGTTCGCCACTTTTAACTAGTAAGTAGGTTTTGGACCCCTTATTGATGGTCTGCCTCTATATAAACCAAACCAAACTCTAAAACATATTTTTCAAGCACGACGAGGCACCGCCTCAAAACGCTGAAGTTATCAGCAAATTTTGGCAGTCAATTTCGAGAATGATTGAATAGTTAACCAAGATCCCAGCCGTTGGCCGCCGAGGCCGCGCAATGAATTTAGCGCCTGTGGATTTTTATCTTTGCGGAAGAATAAAGGTTTATATGTATTTTTAAATTGGCCTGTATAATCTAGACAAGAATTAGAAGTTCTTAGCGGTTATGCGAGGGTATCTTTTACCACCCACTGAGTTAATAAATTTCGTGAGAAATGTTCAAAAACGGTCCCGTCTGTCCATAACTGAAGACAGTCGATATGTCGAACATCGAACACCAACACCTCTAGCAAAATTTCATGTCATGGTTTGCTATTTATTTTTATTTTTATTAGATATAGTTTAAATGTGTTGATGTTGTTAAATATAGTTTTAATTGTCATACAATTCTGAATCTCTCATTGCAAATACCGTATGATCGAAAAAAAAACGGCGTCCAGATGGCTTGGAAATGAACATCGTTGACATTCCCCATATAATTTTACATATAAAATGACAGCGATCTTCATTTCATAGCCATCGCTGACGCCGTTTTTATTCGATCATACGGTATTATTTTCGTGCTCACAGCTAGAATTTTTTGCATAACAGTCGGCGCCGTTTACAGCCTACTTATTCAAAGTAAGAGAATTTTTAAAAACTTTATATCTCGAAGAAGAATCCAGCAAAATATCACGTATGCTATATTTTTGGAAAGGTAATTTCGAGGATAATTTTAATTTTTTTCAATGAATTACCCAAGTAGCACACTAAATTATTATGAGAGTGAAGTGTTTTATATACGATTTATTAAAGTGATCTTATACACGAAATTGTTATATAATAAACGCAAGGAACACAAATTTATCATAGAGACAAATGTGTTTTATTATTTTGTTATATAGATGTTTTGGCGACTAAATTTTAAAACATTTTTATAAATATATTCGTTAATATGCTCAGGAACGTTTATATAACAAATCTTATACAACTATTTATGCTTAAGCTAGATATATTTTATAATTGATTTATAATATAATTTCAAACAATTATAAAATATTTACAAAACAGCTATAAAATTATGCATTTTAGTTTATTAAAACATTATCGACATGTTTTATAGCTGTTTTTGCGAATGATTTCTAAAACAATTTGGTCTTCGCAATAATTTAGTCGCGACGCTACTCTAAGAAAACAATTTTATAATTGCTGTTAAAGAAATGAATTAAAATTCTTATAAAGCTATTAAAAAACAAAAGTGTTTCCCCAAATACAAAAGTGTTATTTAGGAAACCTTATAAACATACTATAGCACTAACCTCAAACTTCGGTTTTGGTCAAAGTTTAAAATATATGTTAAAATTGTGATTTTATCTCTAAAACTTAAAATGTCAAGTATTTCTAACTGGAAGAAGCTAAAAAGAAGTGGACATTTTAAAAAAAAAGTTAAAGATAACTACCAAAGGATTTTAAATTTTTGTGGAAAGGTTGACACCAGAGAGAAATTAAAAAAAAGTGTTATTATTCAGTTAACACCAGAAGAAAGTGATGCTAGTAATACAATATTTCGTAAATTTGTGTTTAATTATGTATTTTTTTCTAATTATTTGCCGTAGAAAAATCCATGAAAATTTTAATTTTTTAAAATGTCTTCTTATGTTATAAGTATTGATAAACCTAACAGCGAATTTAAAAACGCACGCTATAATTTTATTGTTGTAAATGTGATAGCACCGGAATATATAGACGATTTTAATTGTATTTTGCCGACATTATTTTAAGTAATAAAACAAATATGTTCCGTATAGCATCATTGTAAGACAAGTTAATTGTATAACTGCTCCCTGAGCAACAAAAATGTTTTGTTAGTCGACGCCATGATTTTATGTTGAATTTGGACGACTGAGATTTGCAAAACAAAATAATCGAAATTTAATTCAAAATAAACGTATTTATAAGAAACGAATTAGTTTCCAATAATATCGGATATTGGACAATGTCGATTTTCCAGTTTATAGGTAATTTTGCAATAATTTCCCAAAAATTAAATATTTATTATAACTGCAAAATCTTATTAAAATGAAAGCGCCTTAAAATATTTTCACAAATATGGATATATAATATCAATAAAATTTTCTCCGCAGGAAAATTTAACTCCTGGAGCGTTTTAGGCGATATACTTTTTATACAATTTACATCTTTCTTTGAATTAGCCATATGTATCATTTAAATAGTATATATGTGTACTTTGCCATTTTAAAATCAGTTTTATCTTGGTCACTATAAATACACGATATCATAATTTTATTCTTGATAACTAAAAAACAAATATGTTATTTTTAAAATATCTATAAATCTGCTATAAAACAGTTTTATTAGTGTTTTATTAATATCTAGTAACTGTTGGAAGCATAGTTTGTAGATAAACTACCGCTTAATTTATAAAGCGCTTATAAAACATTTACAAAGCAGATTTATAAACATTTTATAAAATACGTAATATTGTTTTAAAAGTGTTGTTTGCGACTCTTATAAAACATGAAAAAAATAATTTTATTTTATAAACCTGGGCCTTTTCCGTGTTTATAAGGATCATATAGGAGTTTACAACACTATAAAAATTTAAGGTTATATTACAAATTGTTATGTAGCAGTTTATATAACTGTTATAAACATATTTGTGCTACTTGGGTAGAAATATACATGGTGTCCTACATAAAAAATCAAATTTTGTGTTGATACGTTTTAAATTATTAATTTTGAAAAAATGATACTTAAACAATTAAATTCTACGTAAAAAGGTGCTTTGGAAATGTTTTCACAAAAATACAGGATTTTGCATAGCAAAAAAGTTAACAACGATTTGTTAAATTTTTGAAAAAAACTCCGAAACAGTAACAGATATCTATGTGCGGTTTTCACTTTTCACCATCATATTTTTGATAAAAATTGATTACCTGACACCGATATGTATTAGTTATTGTCTATCTCCTATAGAAAAGAGTGTTTCCCTTTAAAAACCTCCAATTTGGCCCACCCTGTACATACGAGAGGTTGCCAACACTCTGTATAGAGCAAAGTAATGAAAGAAAAAGAAACAATATTATCTATTTATAGATAATTATTATGACACGAAATATATAGCTTAATCCATTTAAAGTCCACAAGTTTTTCACAAATCATTTTAATATCACTCTTGGTTATTCTAAAGCAGTAATTTATATATCTCTATCTCATATCCATTTATTAAATAGGTATGCTATTCAAAAAAAAACGCAAATAAATAAAACAAGAAAGTAATATATGAGAAAAGAGAAGAAACCTGTAATATTTATGGTAATTCTACTATTATTAATCCAATCACTAAACGAGCAGCAAAACTCAACGCGGAATACATTTCGCATTCAGCTACTTTGTTTCCGCGACCGTGATTGCTCTGGTGGGCCAACTCGAGCGTATCGGCCATCTTTAATCCTAATGATAAGCCAAGCATAGATATCAATTTGTCCCGAGCTGAGTGGATAATTGTCTAGAAATATTTAGTATACTTACCTAGTTAAACTAGTAAAATATTACCCTTGTAACTGCCGTTAAACGTGTTATTAGGTATTAGTGTTTTTTCTTCTATTGGGTAATTATTTAAGCCAATTTAACGCGTTGTTGCTTACAGAAGTAAAATGAGAATAAGTTTAAAGTGGCTGAACACCTTCAAGCATTGGATAATAGAATTGTTTATTTGATTATTTTTCAGTAAATGTTTGATTAATTTTCTAAGAAACATATTTCCGACAAGAGACTAGTGTTTAACAATTTAAACAAAATATTCTTAGAATAGAATAGAATAGAATAGAATAAGTGGGAGGGGGGTTAATCTCTGCGACCTTAGAGATCTATTGTGTCCCCCTTTCTTGAGTTATAACTCATCATACAGTCCCAGGACTTCCTACGGAGACCCGTGTCCCTCACAGTCGAGGAGCTACGACCCAGGCCGGGTAGACGAAACGGTAGCTTGTGTCGCCTGTTGGGTTTAGAGGTAGGAGGTAGGCTCCCGACCCTTGGAGGAGGTAGTACCTTGTATGCCACTTGCGGAGGATGGTCTCACGCAAGTGTCAGCCACCTCTCCTGGAACTTTCATTGTTACTGTTCCCAGTGTCGCTAAGTTTCCCCACAGCTTCACCGGTGATGTTTTTATTACTATTATTACCAGATCTCATAGTGTTCCTATGAGTCGCTAGGGACAGTCGGTCCACTTCTACAGAGCCCCGCATGTAGAAGTAAGGGGTAAAATACAATGGGGTGCTCCCCGGTGCCCCAAGGTTGAGGTTGTCCGTAGCCCCGCCCGGTGTCGTTATATGTCTTGGTGCAATTCCCTGGCCACGACACTACAGTCAGGGACAAGACGATGAGTGAGATGCTTCTTAGACCAAGCCAAGTGCTAGAGGGGATTCCCCCCAGCACCTGACCAGGAGCTTCTCCACCAACGACAAGGTCTTGCATCTCCTAGGGGAAGATATTCTTAGAAACAAAAATATCTGTAACACATAATATCTCAAACTATAGTTGAACAAAAATCAAAAATATATTAGATATTTACTAGTATACCGGGTGCGTCTCAAAAGTGGCTCCCCCATATAACTTTTTTATTTTTTCAGATAAAAAAAACGAGATTTGGTATGTTAGTATATGACAGAAATTAGGATTAATTGTCGTATTCAAATGTTTTTGGTCACTTCCTGTTTCACCAGAAATGACCACAACTTTTGATTTTTAAATAGTACCCTTTTTTATTTTATTCGATGATAGAAAATGTCACTCTGAATAGAATGACATATCACATGCCAACTTTTGAAATATTCGCTTTAAAAAAATCGTATTTTAAATTTCAATCTAAAATGTCATGGCTCTGTTAAAAACACTAATTCTTAATCAAGAGCCTTGGAAAAATAGATTTGACCATCTAGTGTTTTTCGTGTCTTATCTTGGCCAGTTAAAACATGCCCAAATCGTATTTTTAATCATATCTCAATTTTTTAAAAGGAACGATGGTGGTTCATTAGCGTATTTGAAAAAAAACATTTTTTTACGAATAATTCGGTACCACATACACTTGGTATTCAGAGTCAAATTATCATTATGATCCGCATGTTACAATTTCAAATAAACCATATGAGAAAATGTCAAAAGTTGATTTATGATATAAGTCATTCTCTACTCAGTGTCATTTTCTATCGAATTAAATATTCCAAAAATACCGAGGGTGCCATTTAAAAATCAAAAGTTGTCATTTCCGGTGAAACAGGAAGTGACCAAAAGCAATTGACGTGAATCAATCCTAATTTATGTCATATACTAACCTACCAAATCTCGTTTTATCTGAAAAAATAAAAAAGTTATAGGGGTAAGCCACTTTTGAGATGCATAAATAATTTTATATTCACATCACATATCAACATGTGTAATGTCTGCAATATCGTTTTGGGGTAGAATAAAAGACACCATTCAATATTAATGAAGTTTTAATGTCAAGTCATTCGTATTACAGCCCAGATATTACTGCCTGAACATTTGCAGTACTTGTGAAACCTGCGCAAAACTTAACAATGCTATGTTGTCGATATTTACATTATTTACAATAATATACTACACTTTTCCCCCTTACAATATAAAACTTAAAATTAACAATTGTTTAAATTTAACAAAAAACATTATAACCAGTCATTTATTTTTTTTTCTAAATTAATATTACATCATACATACACAATCATTTATACACAATATTTTTATTTACATTTCTTTTATTTCTTCTCACTTCACAATCACCCTCTGGAAAATTTTTATCAGGTGAGTTCATTTGAGTTAAATCAATTATTTCTATATTCTCAGCCTGATGAACATTTCCATTTTCTATTGAAAAATTATAATCTAAAATTTGATTTATATGTCTACGCCACGTTTTTTCCAAAGATGGTATATTTACAAAATAAGTTCTTAAACCAAGTTTTTTCTTAATAATACCCTTAATCCAACTAGGCTTATTACTAACCCTATAATCTCTAACTGCTACAGTTTCACCTAAATTATATTCCCTTACTCTCCTCCCACAATAATTTTTAACTTGTCTTTCTTGTTCCCTAAAACCCTTTCTTGTATATTACAATCATTATTTACAACATTCTCATTCTTATTTTTATGTACAAAATCTAACACTGATCTAGGATTCCTATTTAACATTAATTTAGCAGGTGACACCACTGTGGTACAATGGGGAGTTATTCGATAAGATAGCAAAAAATTATTCAAAATCATATTTAAATTTTTTAAATTTCCTGTATTTATTACTTTTATAATTGCATTTTTAACTGTCCTAACTGAATTTTCAGCCTGTCCATTGGACTCAGGGTGAAATGGAGGTATTTCTTTAAAGTTTATACAATTTTTGCTTAAAAATGTTTGAAATTCCTCAGATTTAAAATGTTTTGCATTATCAGAAACTAAACTATTAGGCAATCCAAAACGAGCAAAAATATCTCTTAATATATTTATAGTATTGGACGATGACGTATTTGTTGTTATAATGGCTTCAACCCACTTACTATAAGAATCTACCAATACTAAAATATAAAATTTTTGAAAAATAGGCCCAGCATAATCTATATGAATTCTGTGCCAAGGGTTAGAAGGAAATTCCCAATTTTTTAAAGGAAACTTAGGAGGTAAATTCTGAGTTTTTATACAATATTTACAACTTTTAATCAATTGTTCAATATCTGCATTTATGTTAGGCCACCAAACATAGGACCGAGCCAAGCTTGTGCACTTAACCATGCCCAAATGCGTTGCATGAAGAGTAGTCAAAAACTTAGCTCTAAGACGCTCTGGTATGACATTTTTGTGACCCAGCACCAAACAATCATCGTTAATTGAAAAACAGTTTTTAAATTTAAGATATGGCTTTAAGTGTGTTTTTAAGGATTTTGGCCAACCCAATCTTACAAATTTACAAATATCCTGAATTTCTAAATCATTTTTGGATTCTTTTGAAATATCTTCCCAATTTATAGGTAAATCATTATTTGACACAATAAAATTTTAATAAGGGTTATCACAATTATTTTCCTTTACTACTTGGCTTATGGCAATCTTGAAAAAAAATCAGCTTGATTGTTTTCTGACTTAACATATTCAATATCATAACTATAACTGGATAGAAATAAGGCCCACCTTTGCAGTCTATGTGCTGCTAAAATTGGCAAACCCTTTTTCCCTCCAAAAATAGTTAATAAACATTTAGAATCAGTTCTTATTATAAATTTACGCCCATAAAGATATTGGAAAAAAATTTTAACGCCCACAATTACGGCTAAACCTTCTTTTTCTACTTGTGAGTAGTTTTGTTGAGCTTTAGTTTAAGTTTGTGAAGCAAACGCAATTGGTCATTCATCGTTATCAGCATAACGATGAGAAATTACAGCACCTATGCCATAAAAAGAACTGTCTACAGTTAAAATTACAGGTAGGGTTGGATCATAGTGCACTAACACTGGAGAAGAAGATAACACCCTTTTTGCTTCATTAAAAGACTTTTGACAATTTTTACAGCAATAAAATTTTACATTTTTCTTTAACAAATTATTTAAAGGTTGCAAAAGAATGGAAGCATTTTTTATAAACTTATTATAAAAATTAACAAACACCAAAAATGATTTTACCTGTTTTACATCTTGAGGAATTGGAGCTTCCAAAATGGCCTTTATTTTATCTTCACATATATGTAACCCATGTTTATCAATTTTATACCCTAAATAAGTTACAGACTCTTTGAAAAAATTACATTTATTTATAGAAATTGTCAACCCATTGTTTTCAAGTCTTTTTAAAACCTTATTTACTCTATTTATGTGCTTTTCTCTAGTTTCTCCTATTATTAAAATGTCGTCAATAAAACAAGCCACCCCTTCTATGCCTGACAATATTTTTTCCATAATGCCCTGAAAAATAGCAGGAGCATTTGCAATGCCAAATGGAAGTCTATTATAAACAAATAACCCCTTGTGAGTATTAATAGTTGTTAATAATTTTGACTCTGGATTAAGTTTAACTTGTTGATAAGCATTTGATAAATCAATTTGTGTAAACTCCAATCCCCCTCTTAACTTACTAAATAATTCATCAATTCTTGGTAGTGGATATTGATCTACATGCAAGACTGGGTTGAGTGTGATCTTAAAATCACCACATATTCTAATCCCTCCACCACTCTTGATCACTGGGACGATTGGAGTTGCCCAATCACTGTGAGATACTGGACTCAAAATGCCATCATCCAGCAGTCGTCGTAGTTCGGTTTCCTCACGCATATCGCAAAAGGCAGGGGTCGATGCTTGAAAAACTTTGGCTCAGCTCCCTCTCAATTGATTAAAATCAAAATCAGATTTGAAATTAAAGTTAAGTTAGTTAAGTTTGAAGTTAAGTTAAAAAAAATCACGTCCTAATAAAGGAGGACCACCCCTTCTATTACATAAATTTTATTTGTTTGTTCTTTATAGGTTATATTTACATCCAAAAACCCTATAGGCTTTATTGTGGAACCATCATAGCTCATCAGTGTTTTGTTTGCAATTTTTAGATCAAAATTATTTAAATGCTTTTGCCAAAAATCACTAGTTTGATCAATGGGTACTGGAAAAACGATAAAAAGGAAATATGTTTCTTTTATCGAGATATTACCAGCCCTCAAAATATTTGCACTTATTTAAGACACACCCTGTATATTAAATTTAATTAATATTTTGAAACTTTTATAAAACGCTATTCGATAAATTATAAATACAATAAAATTGTAAATTGTATCTTGTTCTCTAAAGAAAGTTAAGTCTGTTTTATTATAAATCCGTTATGAACTGGTACAGTAAGAGAGTTTTCATACAGACCACAAATAAAAACATGGAACAAGAAAAATAACAAAACCATAACAAAATAGTTTAATAAAGATGTTATTTTTACTTAAATACTTAAGTACCTGAATGTATTTTAGTACTAGCAAAAATGGATAGTAATCGATTATTTGTGGTTCTACTACTATGAAGTAATATATTTTTTGTCATACGCTCCCAAAAACAGCTATTTTACGGACTCATTTCAGTCCGTAAAATGTTTCTTTTTCGGCCTAGGCCGTAAAGGTCGTCATGGCAACCTTTATGGACTAAAATGTCTAAATTCGTTATTTGGTTGTTTTATTTTGTCATTCGAAATTTGTCACAAAATCACATAAAATTATACATATATTTATAATTAAATTATTAAATACTAACAATATCAAAAGCTAAGTTATTTGTTTAAAGTAAGTACCTAGGTACCTATTTAAAAGAGGCTTTTAAATTAAAATATTCTTAAATTACAGTCACAAACATTCAAACCATCGTCAATTTGGTCGAAATATTCCATGCTGAGAGCAGTGTTAAGTGTTAAAGAAGATATTTATATTGACAAATTTCCAAAACTTATTGCTTTTTGAAGAGGAATTCGGTTGGTTACGAGCCTAAAAAGTCTAAGGTTTTGTCCATAAAAGAGATCGGTGATTTTTTGGCCACGGCTAGTGATGAAACTTATTTACTTACTAAGGTAAGTTTGCGATAATGATTTTTAAAATATATAGATGGTTTCTTATTCCATTGTATTTGATTTTTAAATTATTAAATACTAACAATATCAAAAGCTAAGTTATTTGGAAAAATAAAAATGAAATGAACAATTTTGTGCATTTTGAAAACTTGCATCTGCAATCGAAACGACTCCTCCATTGGCAGGTAAATTTACTTTCTGATGAGGTGGAGTAAATGCGAACGATGATGTACTTGGTAATACATCCGTGGAAGTGGTCGCGATTTTCTTTTCCCCCATTAGCAGTTTGCAAACTTTCTTCTTTTTCTCAATAGATTCTTCTATGTAACCTTCGGCCACTGTGGACGACCTAAATAATTATTGTTGTTTAGAACAAGATCGGAAAATATTAAAATTTTTACCTCCAACCTCCTAGGCGTTTCAGCGATGTAAAATCCACATCTGCATCTGCAGCAAGAGTAGCAGAACTACGTCGGAAACAATGACCTGTATATTCGTTTGGGTTCGACAACTTTAAAAATGCTGCTACAATCGATGGCATCTTCCCAAATGAATGAATGCCGACTCGTTGCACGGTGCATTTTCCTTTACGATAAGAGATGAAGACATAATCATGTGGTACATTTTTTGGCCTAAGACAAGCATATTTTCTATACAACTCAACTGGATTGACAACGTTCCCTTCGTTCACCACCGGAAACACTCTTTTGATATTAGTTTTTGTATCCGCAAGGGTAACTAAAAGGCAGCTGTTGTCTTTTTCTATGATGTCTTGCACTCGTAGAGAGTACAATTCTTCTCTTCTACATGCTCCACAAAGGCCAATGACAAGAGCTACCTAAAAATCAAATACAATGGAATAAGAAACCATCTATATATTTTAAAAATCATTATCGCAAACTTACCTTAGTAAGTAAATAAGTTTCATCACTAGCCGTGGCCAAAAATCACCGATCTCTTTTATGGACAAAACCTTAGACTTTTTAGGCTCGTAACCAACCGAATTCCTCTTCAAAAAGCAATAAGTTTTGGAAATTTGTCAATATAAATATCTTCTTTAACACTTAACACTGCTCTCAGCATGGAATATTTCGACCAAATTGACGATGGTTTGAATGTTTGTGACTGTAATTTAAGAATATTTTAATTTAAAAGCCTCTTTTAAATAGGTACCTAGGTACTTACTTTTTCGTGGAAATAATTTAGCAATACATCTTCATTTACAACGAATACGCCATTTTTGTCTTTCCATTCATTAAAAACATCATATTCTTTCTGGTAAATGGCACGAGACTTCACAGGAAGTAAATCCAACACGATTTCTTTGGCCTTATTAGCAATATGTTCGGGATTTTGGAACATTTTAAAATTGTTGATGAATTTGTGTGATTTTGTGACAAATTTCGAATGACATGTCAAAATGCGATGAAATAAACAAACTCGTTACTAAGATATGAATTTATAAGCCAACTTTTTCAAACATTATAATTTCAAATATGGAAAATTTGCAAATATGCGTTCTAAAAAACTGTAAAAAGCGTATGACAAAAAATAGTGTATGTAACACGTACCTAAATTATGTTTTTTAGGACTCATCTACTATTTCGGACTCGGCTAACGCCTCGTCCGCAAACAGTAATGATTCGTCCTAAAAAACATCATTTTAGGTACTAGTTACATAAATAGCTATTTTTGGATTATTTAAACAATCATAATGAAATCAAATAAAATAAAATAGAAGCAAAAAATTTACGGATTTCGGAAATTATTGGTCAATATTAAGGTAAGGTAACCATATCACATAATGATTCTTATTAACAATGTTCACAAACGGCATTGAAGAACCACTTAAAACTGATCTTGAAATGTTTATCAAAAAATTTTGGATTCTCTAAAGTCCAAAATGTTTGAATGTGATTTTTCTTGAAGATCCATGGCCTTGATGATTATTAGAGTATTTTCTTGACAGATATTCTTATACACAATGTTCCATGAAATAATAATATAAACCTGTCATAGCAAATTATAAGATTATACGGAGGCATAGATCATAATCATCTTTAGTTTTAGGGGGTAATACCTATCATATTATATTATAACAATATATGTTGGAACCTTAATATTCATGTCTTATTTAATTAGTATACTCTGTAATTCGATTTTATGTACAGGGCTGCTTCTTCCTGGAACTTTTAGAATAGAATCTTTAGAATATGTAAAATGAATTTATATCTTTATAATAATCGTCTTTAACCATACTCTATTTAACAGAAATACCACTTTCTGTGCCATTATTTCCTAATTTTGAAAGAGAAGTTTAAGAAATGTTGTTGGATAAATTTAGGTTAGTTATACCAATCCCGCGTAAAATGTTTTGTGCAATCTGACCAGGGGTGGATGGGGAAGTGAAAACCGGCCCGGGAATAATAAGCAACCGGCCCGAATTCACAAAAACAAAATGACCATAACGAAGAAAGATATTTTATTTATTAATATACAGGGTGTCCGAGAAATAAGTGCAAGTATTTTAACTGGTAGTATATTTCGGCCTCAGAAACACACCTATGAGTTTTTTTTTGCGAAAATTTGAATTTTTTTAAAAAAATTTTGGATTTTTTTTTAGTTTTAAGTTAAAAAACATAATTTCTTGATAATATGGCAACATAGGTAGTAGATTAAATTTATATGAAAGAAAATCCAGAATAGATCCTGTGGTTATCAAAATTTAAGCAAAAAAGCATTTTTTGTTTAAATTTTCAAAGTAAAATAACTCGGTTATTTTGAACTTACTTAAAAAACGGTAAAGAGAAAAAATGTTTCTTTTGACCAAATCTACCCCCCTTAAAATACTTGCACTTATTTCTGGGACACCCTGTATAAGTAAGGGTGATTTTCGCTCGGGCAAAAAAATCTCTTTTGCCTCCGATTTTTCAAAAATATTGAATAAAAAATTGTCTTGATCAAAATTTTTATAAAGATCAATATCAGGTCGGACATCTGCATTTTTACTAGAAAATAGCTCAGTTTCACAGGGTTCTACTTTTTTTACAATCACGATTTTGAGAAACTTTACAGGATGAGTCTTAAATACAAACTACAGGATGAGTTTTAAATAAGTGCAAATATTTTCAGGGGTGGTATATTTCGACCCCAGGAACACGTCTATGAAGTTTTTGCAAAAAAAGATGTTGAAAATCGTGGTTTTTCTTTTAAATTTTCCTGTATATTTTAGAAAAAATTTTAGAACTCCCTGTTCACCGCAAATTTTCCCACGGTATAGTTTCTTAATCTTTGATATTACCACACAAAAAGAGATGCAAATACAGAAAAATTTCGATGACAAAATTTATTAAAAATAAATAATTTTTTTTTTAAATTCAAACTTTAATAACGGTTATTTTGGACTTATTTGAAACACGGTAAAGAGAATATATTATGTTTCTTTTATTCACATCTACCAGCCCTGAAAATATTTGCACAAAGCAGCACAAATAAAGTCCACTTATAGACTCACTTTGTATAATAAAACAGAACTTTGTATATTTCAAACGGAACAACAAACAAGAGATGTTTATTAAAATTATAAGTGTCTCAGAGAAAGACATCTAACAATAATTATATTAGAAATTGGTGCTTATGTTTAAAAGCAACTGACGATTATATTGATGCAAATTCATTAGTTAGTTAGGTAGTCACTGAGAATCTTACGTACCTTTAGTTAGAAGATTAATCATTT